TATTGTAGACTTCTATCCCTCAATTTCTAGAGACCTCTTTAAAATGGCATTGGTATTTGGTGAAGTTTATTTGGACATTTCAGAGGATGAGATTAACATCATTTTGAACTGTAGAAAATCTGTCCTAATCCATGACAATGAACAGTGGGAAAAAAATTTGAACAGTAATTTTGACATTTCAGTGGGTTCATTGGATTCTGCAGTCTTCTGATTTGGTTGGATTGTTTATATTATATAACCTTACAGCTTATGAAGATACTACTTTAAATAGTATTGGGCTCTGTAGGGGTGTTGGTCTCATGATTGTTGAAAATCCATAGGAAGTAAAATTAAATCTTAATGTAAAAATTAGTTCTAATATTAAAGAAGTTGATTTCTTAGATGTAACATTAAATTTAGTTCTTAATAATTTTCAACCTTATATGAAGAACAATGCCAACCTGATCTATATCCACCTTAACTCTAATCCCACGCTGTCAGTAATCCAACATATTTCATATGTTAAACATTGTATTAGCCAACATTCCTCTAACAAAGAAGTGTTTGAGAAAAATATAATGGTGTATAATGAAGTTCTTAGGGATAGTGGATATAGATCTTCTGAAGTTATAGTTGTTCTATAAAAAAAAAAATAGAAGCAGGAAGATCATCTGGTATACACCTCCAATCAATTAGTTTGTACCAAGTTAGAACAAAAGTTTTTAAATTTAATTGAACATTTTCCAAAAAGTAATCCATTAAGTAAAATTTTCAATCAGAATACCCTAAAACTTAGCTATAGATGTACGTACTAACAATCTGGGAAAAATAATTAAATCACACAACAATAAAATACTGAAATTATATAACAATAATAACTGTAATGCTGGTACTAATTTTAATTTGTCCTGTGAAACCAACCTATGTAATTGTAAAAATCCTGACCAATGTCCATTATCTAACAACTGCTTAACTGAATCCCTAGTATATATGTATTCTACTTCATCAATTGAAAATTGCAGGATTGTTAAGTTTTATGTTGGAAGAACTCAAAATTCTTTTGATATACATTGGTATAACTATCTCTTTCCTTTTACTAATGCTAACAATCAAAATATGACTTCACTTTCTAAATATTTCGGAAATTGAAAGGTGAAAACAAAACACTTAAAGTTCAAAATGGTGGATTTTGGTATTTGCCACTATATACTAACATTTTTATCTCTCCCAATATCTTTGATTGCTGATTAATGTTCACATAAGAATTAGGCTCAACAAAATCAACAGAATTTGTGTCATTTTTTTTTTTTGTTTTTGTTTTGTTAAATGTTGAACAATTTGTTGGAAAATAAAAACCTTATTTTTTCTTTTGTTTACACTTTTATTATACAACAAATATGTTTTTATATGAAAAAGTAACATAATGAAAATAATTATTTAAAGTGTCATGAATTAAAAATAATATGAAAATATGCAACAAATGATGTTAATGGTTAACAAGTTTTTGTTGGCATTTGACACAGTACACTAAATGTGCAAAACAATCAAATTTTCAATATTTTTATATATATTTAAAAAAGAATTAACTTTTGATCTGAAAAAAGTGATATGTTAAAATGAATATTTAAAAAAAGATCCCTAACATTTCTAAAGAGATTAACATACAAACTTATTTTTCTTGTTGGAATACTTGTTTAAATAGAAAATAAAAATTTGGATATGCCAACCACTTTTTTCACTCAAATATTTTGAGATGACCAACCTTAATTGTATCTTTATGGTTATTTCAAGAAATTCTCTTTTCTAAAATATTTGAAGCTTATTCCATCTTGATTTTTGAAAGTTTATAAGTTCTTCTAGTGTCAGGTATTGGATCAACTAAGCTAAGAATATCAGAATAATTTAAGATTAATATATCGGGATGTAATGGATAGCAGAAAGATGAAGAAGGAATGTAAATTTTACCTCTTCATTATCAGGATATTTTTCAAGCACCCATCCTAACCACCAGTCCCTATAGTTTTTGAGTTCCTGGAATTACTGAGGCATTTTTAATTTATTTTCTAAGATTTCTGCTTCCTTTGTTCATTCATTTGTTAAGGAATACAAAATATTTATGCCCGAAATGTTTCTCCTTGCATAATCAAACAACTGTCTTGGAATCATTATTTGTTCATTATAGGTTTGCTGCAGGCTTACTTTTGCTTCTAATTTCTTAACAGTGCCACCTAACTCATTATATGTTCATTTCCCATGAGATGTAGCAAAAAGAAAAATGCCACTCTGCATTATTACTAAAGTCAGCCTTATGGTTGCAGAAATTAGTAACATTTTTATAATGTGAAGTGACATCATCAGAGATCAGATATTTTATTTAAAAATTTTTTTCAGTACTTCTATAAATTTTCTTTGGAACAAATGGGCAGCTACTGTGTCATGCTTGAAACAATCTGGTATAATTATAATATTAATATGCTCTAGCTCTTTGTCATTAACACACCAATGAATGTAATGTAACTTGAGAATTATTTCAGTGGAAGCCTTGTGCAGCATCCTGCAAAATAAATGAATAATTCTTAGCAAAATCTGCAATAAATAATTTTTTTTATCAATGAAATCCTACTTTTTCAAGGTTTGAAAGACTATCCAAAACATTTTCAATAAATTCTTCTGTAGATTATGATACAGTTTGCAGTGTTGTTAGTTGATAGCCACTGTTTGTAGATAAAATTATCTATTAATTTTTTATTTAGAATTTCTTATAAACATTGCTTCAATTTGAGCAGTCACCCAAGTAGCAGTTAGAAGTTGCTTCATTGCATGTAACAGCAGCTATTCATTGGTAGTAATCTGTTAAATGATATTGTTCATCTTGAGTCAGTGTACCAAGATGAGCCCCCACAATCATCATTCATATTTTGATATATTGTACAAGCACAGACACAGTGTGTTCCAGCATCACCTGCTAGGATACATTGTTTTGGTCCAAGCTCAGCAAATTTTGGAAAACTAATTCTGTTTGAATTTTTTGATTTAAATAATTGGTATGCCTCTTTCAGTTTACAGAGTACAAGATACTTTTGTTTCTGAACTGTTCTACCATTCTTTAAGACTATCTTGTAGTCATTTTTTCCAGGAATCACTCTGCTGACTTCTTCACTCTTATAAAACAGCACAACTTCAATTGTCTCTTGTGGGAATCTACATTTTCATATATTTGGTAGAGATAATATTCCATGTTAATTTACAAGTTTTTTGGCTTGTCTTGCCATGTATGTTGTTTTGCCAAATTCCATTTGAAGTCTTTGGATACTCCAGGTTTTGGAAGTATTTTCAAAATTTGTACTTTTTGGGAACTCTTTTCAAAAGCTGAAAACTTTTCTTTTGTGTATAATTTCACTTTCATCAGATCTTTTGTGCTCTTCTACACTGATAGATTCTTGATGAGGAATTTTAGTTGAAATCTGTTTAATATTCTTTCATACTGCTCCTTTAGTTTTTCCTACTTTTTATTCCTCATAACTGGTTTGTTTTTCATGTTTTTGATGCTTGATTCACCAATCATTGACAGTGACTCATTAAAAAGTTGGAATTCATTTTCAATATCTACAAAATTTTTAGAAGGCTGTGTCTGGTCTTCAGCTGATGTTAAAGTACATTCAGAAAATTCAGGTAATGCTGTTAATTTTATTCAACAACAGGTTTGCTTGTTAATCTCTTTGTAAATGTTAGGAATCTTCTTTTAAATATTCATTTTAATGTATCACTTTTTCAGATCAAAACTTAATTTTTCAAATATATGTAAAAACATTGAAAATTTGATTGTATTGCACATTTAGTGTATCATGTCAAATATCAACAAAAATTTGTTAACCATTAACATCATTTGTTGCATATTTTCATTTTATTTTATGTTAACATTAATTCATGATACTTATTTAAATAATTATTTCCATTATGTCACTTTTTGTATAAAAATCTATTTGTTGTATAATAAAAATTAAACAAATCCAAAAATAAGGTTATTTATTTTTCACTAAATTGGACAACATTTAACCACAATTAACACAAATTCTGTTGATTTTTATGATCATAATTCTCATGTGAATATTAATCAACATTCAAAGAGCCATCTAAAGATATACAACTTGACAATATTGGGAGATATTAAATATGTTGGTGATGGTCAGACCTTTGTTGATTTGACACAGAATGACTCTTAAAGTACTTGATAACCATATGTTAAAATAAAAACAGAAAAAAAAAGATTGAATATCTTTTGAAATAACCAGTGTAAGTTTCTACTGGCTATATAGCCATGTCTCTCTTGCATGACTAACCAATACCTTTTGAAATCTCACTGTTGATGCCAGTGTAGTTTCTGACTTTAATTTGCTTTAAAGTTAGGCTATCATTATCTAGTTCAAATTTTCTTTACTCTGTGATGCCACTGATGTCAGAGAGTAATATCTATATTATGTTCTATGCAAACAAGCAATCACTTACTGACACTGTCTCCCTCCTTAAGCAAACATTTACTGGAGTCATTGGTAAACTGTCTTGGCTTGAGATTGGGCAAGTTGCTTGCTTTCTAGATAATATTTTGTGATACTTGATAAGTTTTTAATAAATATTTGCATATATACTCAGAACAATATCCAAATAATCAGTGTTTAAAATAGAATAAGAGTTGAAAATATTAGAATATTACCAATTCTTCTCAGTCTCTGACAAAGCTTATGATTTTTTTAAATCATACAACTATCCAATTATGTTACTGTTTTCATATTACAACCACAGAAATTTTCTATGACTTATTAATTGATAATATCAGCTCAATTTTGTTTAGCATTTTGGTTAATTATTATTACCACAAAAGAAAATATTGGTTGTAAAATATATTGTCAATGAATTAGATATTTTGTCAGAGAAAATATAATTCTTCTGCATATGTGTGTTTTACTTTTTTAATTTTGGTACTTTAAAATTATCTATTTTCTTTTTCTTTTTTCTCTTAACAGGAACTACCATGTTTTCTATTACCTCCTCAAAGGAGCTACTAATGAAGAGCGAGCACAACTCCATCTAACAAGAGCCAATGATTACCATTATCTTTCCCAGGTATGTATGCCTGTTTCTGCATGCACATCCTTCTCCTTATATGTTTGTTTCTTCAACCATTAATTTTTTTTCTTCTTCTTAAGGTTTCACTTTAGTCGGTTGTGATTTCTATCCCCCTGAGCAATTCATTGCCTGTCATGGAAGCAGTTGTTTTAATAAAATCACAACTTATTTTTTTGTGTTAATGTTCAATTTCTCCTTGCAGTGCCACTTAGAAGGTGGGTAGAGAGTTCATGTCAAGTGGGTATTTAACATTCTTTGGTGTTAAGTGTTTTCTTCACTAAAATAACATAAATTCCACAGGCAAGTCCAAGGAACTGATTGAGACAGAATTTTACCTCATTAGTATGGTCCCCCAAAGGAAGAATCTATTTTTAGTGAAGAGAGGTAGGAATGTTTCTCAATAGAACTTTTAAGCTATTTAATTCATATGCAGGCATAGTTTACAAACTGTTTCAGCTTTCTATAGCAAAAAATAATTTGTATTCTTTAAATAGTTAAAGCAATTAATTTAGAATAAGCATTTATTATAATTCTTAATGTCCCAATTGTTAACTTGGTTATGCTTGTTCATGTAATACACCTTGTGGGAGCACACATTTTAATATCAAAAGTAGTGTTCCTTTTCTTTATAAGGCAATCTGATAATTGTTTTTATTTTTATTTTATTTCATACCAAATTTGTTAATAAACTCTTTAATTTCACTTATTTCAATCTCCATTCACTTCTTATGACAGATTTAGGAGGCTTTACTGTCTCAAAGAGAGTTAGATAGAAACAATGGGCAGTATTTGAAAATCACTTTTACATTTAGTGAATTCTGCAAATACTATAGAAATGAAAACTGTTATGTCAACTGCTTTAGAAATTGTGATTGTTTCTGCATCCAGTCTTGTAAACAGAATATCTTTTTCTTGGAGTTTCATCCAATTAAAGAGAACTTTCCTGATTTTCTAACAAGAAGAATTATGTAACCTTCCTAACAGCATCTCAAAAATTTCCCTAAAAAGCATCACTGAATATCATGAAATGTAATTTACTCTTTATCTGCAGATGAATTATTTTCCTTTAATGATTGGGTTAACAGTTAGAAAATCTTTCACAGTACATTGCTTAATATTAGTTGCCACAGTACAAACAAAAAATCTGAATGTGTTAACCAGAGCAGTTGATCCACTTTAGATCTTGTTTTTCATTTTCTGTTAGCAGATTCCTTCTAAAGACCATCTGAGAGGGACAAAATCTATGGATATTTTGTAACAAGTTCTTTACTATTATGGACCAACTCAGCACTGTTTCGAGATTGAGATCATGTTTCAGTTTGAATAATGTTTCATTCAATATATAATTATGCCTTTCAAATAGACCCTTGATCTAAAGTAAACATCCTGCCATAGACATAATGTTAAAACTTTCATCCATATCTCATACATTATCAAACATGCCACCAAGATCATTGATTAGCCAAAAAAAATTAATGTAGGCATTGTCTTTGGTCTCCAAAAAACAAAAGTTTTTGTTTTTAATTTTTGTTTCAAAACCTTAATCGATTTTTTTTTCTCATAATTATTCAAGTGCAGCACTCTCTTGATTTAGATCCCTCACTTTGCAGATTAAAGCAGCTTCTCTAGCTTTACTAGTAAGTGATAGTTATTGCCAGCATTTTTTTATATTTGTCTGTCATAAGCTATTAAATTTTCAGTTCATTTTTCCAGGAATCATAACTCCTCCTCTTTAGATTTTAGTGAATTTTTGTAATCCAATACCATCTTTTTGACTATGTTGTGCTATCAGTGTTTTTTTCATGGGCAGAAATTCAGCTCATTAATATGATCTCCAGAGGAAGAATCCACTCACTGATAAAATCAGGTAGGAATACTCCACAATAAAATATTATTTTAGCTTATTTGATTGATGTAAATACAAGTATAGTTCACATTGATTTAAAAGGATATCATTTCATTCTTTTGAACAAAACTGGTGTTAAAGTAAATGCTATTAAAACAATTCGTACATTGCTTTTAATGATTCCAAAATTTTGTCTCACTGTTTTCAAATTGGAGTTTTCAGATGAGCGATGCTCTCCCAACTGAATTTTACATTTATTTTTAGTTAACTTTGTTTCTTAGTGAGTTTCAATCTTATGGAATGGATGCATGACATGCTTTACTTTAGTAAAGCATGCCATGCATCCATTCATATGTATATGAATGAATATATAAAATGTTCACATGTAATTCTTGTATTTTGTAGTGAATGAAACTTAAATTTTCTATTTACTTTTTTGATTTGGCTATTATTTTTTCTTTTTCTTTGCACTATTCTGATAAAAATGCAACATTTTAAATTAAAAAATGGAATGATATGGCTTTAATTTAAAATTATTTTCATTAAGTATCAGTTAAATTATTCAGAGCATAAAATGGAATTTCTCATTAAGACTTAGTATCCAGCATCTTTCTTTTTTTTTTTTTTTTTTAATATACTTCCTTTATAGACAAAATATTTCTGTGATGTACAGGTTTATGAATTCATTTTGATATATATATAATATTAGTAAAATTATCATTTATTATTACTTTTTATTTTTTAAACTAACTCATGACAATGCTCAGCTTGTTTATGTTAATAGTAATAATTATATTAAACTGGAACAGTTAAATGAATTTTCTATTTATTGGGTGTGTCTATTATTAACAGCTTATTTTCTTAGTCATGGCTTTATAAAACTTGAACTTGCCTGTTCTTGATCATTCTCCTTATTTTTTTTTTATTTTAAATGAGTCAAAAGGCTGTGAAAGTTTTGAACTTTTAAAGTCTTGAGCTTTCTTATTAATTTGAAGGCATGTATTTATGTGCAAGCCACTTAACATTTGGCTTGAATCCAAAAGGCACCATTTTAGAATTAGTTTCTTAAAATATGAACATCACAGGTCAAGGGTTTTATGACAAATCTTGATAATGGGAATTTTGCTTGCATATGTTTTTCAAAGAATCTGCTTTTACTAATTTTACTTATAAATTACATTCAATTTCAAATTCTACTTTTATCAAATAATAGATTGGGGTACTAATTAAAAAATAATAACCTCTGTTAATTATATGAGGAATTGTACAGATTTAAAACTGTAGGCTTACTCTTTTAAGCTTCAGCTGGAAACAGAAGTTGGTTGGCTATAATAAGCATTTACTATGATTATTTCAATAAAATTTCTTTGAGAAAGAAATTCTATACTCCCTTCCCCTCTTCAAGTGTCCTAAAGTAAATTTTCGAAATGTGATTGACAGCTAAAGCAATTATATATGGGATAAAGAAGCTCTATTTTTACCTTCTCTAATAATGCTATGGATATAACAAGACTGTAAAGTTTTACATCATCTTTCAATACAATTTTGACTGATCTGCCTTGAATAGGTTTATTGTGAAGATCCTGAAAGATTGTTATTTATGTTTGTTCCAGTGTCTTCACTCTAGTCCCTAACTACCAACTGCATTCTGATTTTTAAGATTTTCTGTATTTCCATTTACAAGGAATATCTTCAATGAAATTGCTTTGTTAGTACAAATTTTGGCTGATGTTTTAAAGTGTTCATGGAGACTTGAGTTTAGTTGTCATTTGATTTCATAAGGGTCTGTCTACAAGTTCCTTTTTGTCTCTAGGACACCACTGGCATTATTACCAATTTTAAGTTGATAGTTAGATCCATAAATGTTCAATTCAATACGCCATTGTGGTTCATTGGTAAAAATCAAACCAAGGGGATATACCTTGTACTTGTCTGTGTTAATGATATTTGTTTTCCTACTTTGACAAACAGTTGGAAAAATGTTTCCACTTATCACAGTTGGGTTTTATTCCCTCTGGATGGACAATACTGTTTTTCTATGCAGTTTACCACATTGGTTGCAACAATTTTTCCACCTCTGCTATTATTACAGGAGGTTGGTGTATAAACTCTCCAACATCTGATCTGCTTTGAAACTGGTATTTGCCTTTTTGAAAGTGCCTTGTATATTAAGAGTTAAAAGCTGTTGCTTTGATATTTGTGTCTTTTTTACTTGCCTGAGCTGACAAGCAGTTTTTGTTGCAACTTTTAAGTTAGAATGGAGTTGTAGTTTTTCTGATGACTCCGTCTTTCAATTCCACTACTAGTCTGTCTCTAATGGAACATTCCTTATCTTAAAAGTCTTAACAGATTTAACTAGGTCATACACTATACAAATGTGCATTTCTATATTTTTGTCTAATTTATTAACTATGTTGGTGAAATACCAAGCTTTCATGAATTACGTTTACTTTAGTTATGTGTTTTTTTTTTGTTGTTTTTGTGTGTGAGAGAGAGAGAGATATAAAGCATAATTAACCTGGAAAATAACAAGAAACTTGGTTGAGTTGGTAATGAAACAACTGATTTTTATTTCCAGGCTCCACACAATTATAATGAATGTGTCAACTAATAGGTGGTAATGGTAATCTGTCAGAGCTAATTGGTGATATATATTTCTGTAGATATATATGAGCATAAAAAATGAAGAACAATATACTCAATTTTTATCTAATATTTATAATCTATCTATTTTATAGAATAAACTCTCTTTCAATATGTAATAAATAGAATATTTGTCAGTAATTTTTATGTGTTTGTGATGGATTTTTCAATTTTGAATTTTTAAACAATTTTTTTAATTATGAAGTTTGACTCATTTTTCTTGAGAATTTTTTTCTTTTTCAAGCAGTTTCTAATTAGAAAGGTTACAAGGATTTCTTCCAATATTTTTCTTATGTTTTAATATTAATAAAGGAAAAGAGCTGAAAGAAATGCCAATTTACCATGAGGAAAAAATCTGGGAACTTCTAATTATACTATTTGCATTTAATTTCTTAAGGAACATTGAGTAAATTTATATATATAATATATATATATATGAAGAAATATAGTCTTAAGGTGTGCTATATTTATGGGATAAAGTGCTCAATATCAGAGATAGTGTGTGTGT